CTATATTTATATATCACGCTCTACTTTAACGTATCGAGCACTTTACTACGGAAAAATCGTAACACAGGCTTCCTATATATATATATATATATAATTTGTACGGGCTCTCTTGCGAGGAGGGGGTGTCTAGGTTCAGCATGCTTCCCATCCCCTGTAACGGAACCTCCCTCGCGGTTTCGCAGTGGAAATTAAGGATGGTACTTATGGCTGGGTACCGATCCAGCCGTCTCAACCAAAACAAGCCATTTTCTGGACCGGTTTCGACTTTACTGTCTTCTTCAGCGGAATTTTACAGTTTCAGCTTGTCCGGTTGCTTACGCGCCGTTGGACTTATTGCATTAACTATGTGTCACAACTCTGTTTATACCATAAATTGACATTTATGTGTATGACGTGGGTATGGCATCAATAGATTGATTAATGAGTTGTACTTATTTTCGTGCACAGTTCTTTGGCATTTTTGTGTTAACGCGGAATTAACTTTAAATTAACTTTATTAACTTTAAATCTAAATGTCTCTCTATCCTTACAATTTGAGGCTAGCTTGTGCTACTTTTGAAGTTTTAACTTAATTGCTATTAGAGAACTGTTTTTCTCTGATTATTTTGGCGGTGATGTCTTTACTCTTGCGCAAAATTCTATTACGTAGATGATGTCTGCATGATGCATCTCATCTGCTTGAGAAAGTTGGAGCTCGCGCTGCACGATTTTGAGTTTTAGAAGTTTGTCTGCTAGTTTTATGCCAAAGGTTCCCCAAACAACATTGCAATAGTCGAAATGTGGCCGAATCAAGGCTTTGTAGATAAGATGCAATGTTGCTGGGACAACAAATTGCCTGACCCGTTTGATAGCGGCAATACCAGAGGCAATTTTTTCAGCCAGTTTCTCGATATGACTGCCCCAGGTAAGGATTGCATCAATGAGTACACCTAGAGATTTAACGTTGATACCTGGTTTACGGGCGGGCCTTGGAGTACCATTAATGCTCAGAACAGGAGAGGCAGTTAGGGTGTTTAGCTTTTGTCTCGAGCCGATTAGCATAAACTCAATCTTAGTCATATTAAGTGTTAGTTTGTTAGCGATCAGCCATTTGCTGATATTTAGCAAATCTGTATTCAAACGGGACTGAATGATATTCACATTTCACATCTTTATCAGCGTAATTGAGATTCGTATCATCGGTATACATTCTAGAGTAAGAGTTAGTTAAGCAATTTGGTAAGTCGTTTATTTATAGCAAACAATAGAGGACCCAATACAGCCCCTTGAGGGATACCACATTGGAGAGAGCAGGTCTTGAAAAGTGAACCACCATGTTTGAGTTCGGTTTTCTATGTATGATTTAAACCAATTGTAAGCATTTTCTTGAATTCCGTAGGCGCTTGATTTAGACAGTAATACCGTGTGGTCTACTGTATTCTCCTTTTCCAAAGCATCGATTGGGCCAGACTTGGTGGAAAGATCAGTCGAGTTAGATCAGTGCCAGAAGCGAAACTGTTAACAAAGACTTTTTGATTCACATGTACACGTTTTTGTGTTTGGGTGGAGTAGTCTATAGAAGTCAGCAAGGTTTAACTCTTTCATTACATATAATAAACCATTTCTATAGGTTCGGGTCCCTTCCATGGACGTCCACGTTTCTTATCTATTTGATTAAGCGTTGTGTTCCAATCTCCGACCAAAATGACGTGTGATATGCAAGCTTTCGACATCAAGAGATGAGTAAGTTTTCTCAGAAAGGGCATTTGAAGCTGATAATCTGTTGGAGCGTAAATGCTAGTTATCGTAAGCTCCTCGTTGGGTAATTTAACACTGCATGGCAAAGATATATCGCCCGTCCGTGTCAACGACTGTTGCTTCTAAACCAAAGCTGTTTGCTTTCACTAAGATACATACACCTCTGGCGTGCTCTGAACCGTGACGGTAGAATACATTAAAACCTATTGCACGTTTCTGAAGGATTGTTATTTTGTAAGGATTCGTTTCACGGGCTCTTCCCCTAGAAATAAGGACATAGAGGTTAAGCAAGGGGTTATTAGTGTATTATAAATGTACAAAATGTCTTCCTTAGTTAGCATCGCAATAGTTTGACTTATATTTGTAGCTACTGTGTGAATGTGGTTCCTCCATGACAATTTCTCATCTATTAACACTTTCAATTCATGTTTAAATCTCTCTTTCTCCTTATCATTTACACTTTTTTACTATTATTAAAAATATATAACATCGAGAAGGATTATGAACTTTGATCGATAGGGGCACAAATTGACGTTACAGCATTTGACGTTACAATATTTGCTGTTATCCAATTATCTGACTTTCATTATTCAATTTTTACCGTTGCTTCCACTTTTAAAAGGTTTTGAAAGGATTTCAGTTCCATCCGCAATGCAAAGAATTTAAATTATTCGGAGCGATAAGATTTATCATTTACATATAACAAGAAATGCAGGGGCCCTAACACAAACCCTTGTGGTACACCATTACACCATAAGTAGCATCACTCCTCTGACTTCTTTCGGCCTGCATAGCCCTTCATGGGTTTCTGGGTATAAATAACAAGTAAAATCGTAAGACGGAAACCATCATAAAATTGAGTAATTTTAGTTTTCAGTCGACAAAGACCTTGTAGCAGAATAATTCAAGTCATATCGCATTCTTTTTTACATTTTTCAAAGGCTATAGACATAATTAGTTATTTGTAATAATACCAAAAAGACAATTTCTCATGGGAGCCGCGAGTTGCAATAACTGCGATGAAGAAACTAGTATTCATTGTAAAAGTGACAATCTCTTGTCGAGAACAGCGACGGCATGAACCGTTTTTTCTTTGCCCCTAGCTTTTTGAGTCTGAGGTAATTTTGACGTGAACCTCCTCCTTGAACCTGCACTAACGGATACACCGAACGTTTTTGTGCTCTTATACTACTACATGAGAAATTTCTGCAATTTGATTGGCTTAGAGCAGTGGTATTTCAGCTTAATTTGAAATACCTATGAGAAAATTACAAACCTTTTGTGGGTAGTAGTACAAACAATTAATAGCATGATTTGTACGTGATATTTGGTATAAATGCTACTCGTGATATTTCAAAATTGTCTCAAATTTCACTCTGGTAACGGCTCGTGAAATTACGTATAACAATTTCGAAATATCGCTCGTGGTTTTTATGCCAAATATCACTACAAATCATACTATTACCTATACTAATAGCATGATTTGTACGGGACATTTTGCATAAAAACCACTCGTGATATTTCACAATTGTCTCAAATTTCACTCGCAGAAACGGCTCTTGAAATTACGTAAACAATTTCGAAGTATCACTCATGGTATTTATACTAAATATGACTACAGATCATGCTATTACCTACACTAATTTATAATTTCACATATGAAGTTACAAAATTGCTATGGCAACCTTCACTACGTCTCAGTGCCAAAATGGCGACGAAGTTCTAAAATGTTATGAATGAAGATGTCAGGGCATTAAAAGACAGTTTAGAGAACCTAAACAAACGAAAGAGTACATCGAGGAGGATTCTAACAAGTATTTTGTCGAACAATTCTGAAAATTCTCAACTTAAGCCAAATTTAAGCTCTAGACGTTTGAGAGAGTGAAGTTCTCGATCGATACGATCATTGCTAACGTAATTCGTCACCCATTACATTAATAGGTAATCCAAAAGGCGAGGGAAATTATAAGGATTTGGACAATACGCAAGTGAAATTATTCCCTAATTTCACGACACATACTTTTTGTTCGTGGGTTTAAAGGGATACGAAAGAGTTGGAAGCCGGCGGAAATTGGCTTTCAACTGTTGGGTTTATTCTTCAAAAACTGGTAAAATTAAGGGATAAATAAAATATCAGAATCTTTTTTAGACGTACCTTTGTGACTGACCAAACAAAGCCGACGTTCTTCGCTGTCAGATAAAATGTACGAACCTCCTTCGATCTCCAGCCCCCTGTAGATTCTTTCCGACCTGTAAGCTGCCTGTTGCACCATTTGCTCTTAGAGTCGCAGCCCCTTTTACTGCGAATCCTGTGGAATGATATTGTGGGAGTAGTATGTGTAATGTACTAATCAAATGTTAACGCCCGAAATAAGGAAATGATCGCTGGAGCCTGGGGATAGACGGAGAAGTGAAGCCTGTAAGAATTGTTTCAAACCTGTTTCCGATATACAGGCTTTTGATATACCTTATAATTGGACAATTTTAACAGTTTACGTCAACACGTTCGTCAATCATGTGGTTTTTGCGCGTGTAGGGTCTTAACAAACTTGGCGAGCCTGTAAAGCCCTCTTACACAGCACGTTTCGAAATTTTGACACAAGAAACGGTTTTTCAGAAGGTGGGAGAGGAGAGGAGAGAGGGAGAAAAATGGGTGGACTGAGGTATAGTAGAACCCCGGTGACTCGAACTACCGGGGTCGATTGGAAAATTCAATTTTCAGTGCTAAAAATTGACACTCGCTGATTTTTCAACACTTCCGGCAGTGTATAGTGCTATTGCAGTGCAAGTTTAACTTATTTTATCAGAAACGGTAACATAATTAGGCATTTTTTTTTATAAAACGTGATCTGTTCGTGAGTGTCTTAACCACTCTTAGAGATAGTGTCTTTTTACTGATTGTACAACCAGAGCCAATGGAATGCCAACCGAGTATAGTTGCAAGAACTAGAATTCGAGTTATCGGGTTGAGGTGATCAAGGGTGAGGAAATTTAGTTCGAGTTAGCGGGGAATTCCAGTTATCGGAGTTCGAGTTTGTCTAGTAAAAACGACTGAAAAGTGGGATGAAATCCAAGGGAAATTGTACTTAGTTCCAGTTAAGGGGGTGTTCCAGGTATTGGATTCTACTGTATTTTAAAAGATGCTTACAGGCTCTATTCTCTGTATCAGAAAAACAGGAAAACCTTTAATGTATCTGTGGCCTAGGAGGTGAGAAAAACTCCTACCTCTTTTGGCGAACACCACAGATTTCCCAAAGATCTGCGTATGTCTTTAATGTCAATCGGCTGTCCTCGCCAGATAATATATCAAACGACAGGTACTGTTCACAGTAGCCATACTTAGGACACTTGTAGATGTTCTGCACTGTGTAGAGATTGTTACCATGGGGGATAAGTTTCCAGTGGCAGTTTTCAATCACAGTTGTAATGTAGGGGTGACCGTCCTTCATTAAGCTGTTCTCGTCTGTCGTCCACGTGATTGGGTTCAGCTTTAGACCAGAAATGTGTGGCGTCAGACACCATCTTCCAGCCATGGAACGATCATAATCGGGTACTTTCAGCACCTTTGTCAAATAGGAATCTGTGAATGAGCTCACGTCAGGGTCGAAGTAATTTAGTGCCATCTTGCCAATTTTACCTTGGCGAAGGAATCTTATCAGATGCTTTTGCCGATCGCGCATAGATTCCTGAGCAGCTAACAAGGCTTGTCGGTTGGGTTCTAGGTCGATAGGTAACTAAGTCGCCGCTTCCTGCATGATCATGTCTTTAAGAATCGCCATTTTTGTATACAGCTCAATGTATTTCAATGTCTTTTTGGCATCGCTTATTTTGTTGACCTTCAGGAGACCGTTAATTTCACTTGCCAATTTTCCCATGAAGGGGAGGCCAAGATACAGTGGCACATTCCTCTCAAGTGACGCCGCCTGAGAAACGGTAAGCTTTTTGCCTGACTGGGCCAGCTTATCCAAATATGCCTTGGAAACTTGGAACGTACTGGTAATGCCTTCAGCCTTATTACTAAGATCGCTCTCATAGAATTGTGCCAATGCCTCATCTATTTCTTCACGTACAATTTCTCCGATAGATTTCTTTTCCTATCCTCCCGCTCCAAAAAGACTCAGATACCCGGAGACGAAGCTTAAGGCGACGGCAGCAATTTGGCCAGTGGGACCGGCAAGAGCTGCAAACTGTGCCACCATGTTGAGTGCTCCCTGTACTGCGCCAATTGGATCACTTCCTGCATTTAAAAACTTGTGAATATTTGAGGCAGCGGCCTGTAGAGTCTGCGTCATAACCTCTCTATCACCGAACGAGATCTCATTCCACTGTCCCTTTAGCTCAGTTAGACCATTCATAGCGCCCGTTGCTTGTGTTTCCAATTCCCCAAAAGCAGTTTGCAGAGTGCTGATAGCGTCGTATGGGACTGAAATTAAAATCAAAGCATAAGTAGCGGCCGTTGTAATGACGACACCGTTTACATAGGTTCGGACAAACTTTTTAACGGACGAATTTTTTTACCCGTGCAAATTATGTTACGGGTTGCAGCAGACGACGATCGAATAGTATCCCATGATGCACCTCGATTCATGTTATATTATCACTGCGTACGTGACACATTATGATCAGTAACCTTCAGCACGCGCGAATTGAACATCGATCGCAGTGCTCGATGTGGATGGTTTCCAAACATGTTTCGGTTCAGCAGCTTCTGCTTTTGAGATTATCGAGTTGGCTAATATTCACTGTGCTTTAAAGGAGAATTTCAGCGTTGCTTTGACTGAGAAGGGTTTTGCATGTATTTCACTGATCTGTCGAGAACTACTTGTGCCGCGCTCGGTCGCACTGTAAACACAAATTATAAGACTCGCAATTGATAAGCTTCGCTAGGTTCACTAGGAGAACCCAGGCCAGAGGAGAACCAAAACTATGACTGATCTATAAAGTGGTTCCAACAAAACATCCGCTACGCTGTGAAGCTAATCACCAAAGGATAATTTATCACAGCATCGCGCTCAAAGGAGCTGAAGTTTACAATGGCAGTTACAAATAAAATTTAACCTATCGATGCGACAAACAATTCTCTGAAGCACAGTCTACCCGGTACTGACTCAAGCAATCTTCAAGGAAATTTCCTGGCCAGAATACTGATCTGTTCTTTTGAATAAATAAAGTCTCTGCATGATGTTTCTTTTTCAAATTCTGAGCAGGCTTCAGTTTACGTTGTGCCGGCTTGCATGCTGCGTGGTTCCTTTCTTTGGGTTCTTTTCACACTGAAACACACCGTTATACACCGCTCCTTCTTTGAATTAAAATAATTATAGTCAAATTCCTTTTAAAAATAACCTCTTTGAAAATACAAAGTGATTGCTTCGGCATAAAGCGCTCTCAAAAGCGCCCAACAGATTGTAGCCTTCATCAGGCTTTACACATATATTATGACACATGGCGTTGAAATGTGATAAAAGATTCGAAATTTCAGCCATCTGTGGTCGACAAAAAAGTCTTCAAAATGTGGGTACTTCTGGGTACTTCTTGGCCTGTACAATATTCAGGACTTCATTTTGCTGGCGTGAGGTCCACATTTGTAAGATTTCAACATATATTCCAAAAAACCTTGAATATTCATGACCTGGTTGTGGGTCAATGAACACTTTGTGATGGGAAGACTAATTGAAACCGTGAAAATAAATGTTTCTAAGTGGAAACTTCGCTCTTAAGCCATTGCAAATCGGAGAAATCATGTCAAATAACGAAATAATGTAATTTTTTTACTTTTACTGGAAATCGAGTGAGAAAAAAGCCGACGAGAAAACGACCTTATTTCATGATGGAATCTACCATGACTACGATATTGCGTGATGCTTCTGGAAAAATGCATCATGGGATACTATTCGATCCTCCTCTGGGGTTGCAGTTTTGTTTACCGTTCGATAACTTGCACGGTTCCGCGGGTCCCGAGTAACCGAAAGTCGAATTCGTGCATTTTTTGTCCGTTCAAATATTTTTCCGAAGCGTTTAAACAGGGCCTAACAAGTGAAGGAGAAAAACTGGAAAACAACAATTTCATTCAGCGAAAGGATGAATAACACAATCATATGACCGTTTCAGTTTTCGTGGTCACTTTCTCGTTAGAAGTGTTATGGGTATGTGCGTTGCCAAAACATGTGGTTTTGACTTTTTAAGGCACAGGTGACCCAAGGTCGAAAGATTACCGTAATGTTGCCAGCATAACCTTCAAAATATAAGGATTTGTATAAAGGAAACGATTATTTCTGTAGTCCGCGAATGTGAAGGAAATTAATGCAAATCGAGTAACCTCATGGTGATGTGAATTTCTTCTTTCCAGGGCCATTGTATGGGTTTTGTTGAAACTAGTCTGTTCTCCATATGATATATATAAAAGAAGAAACAGGCTCAGGAATCACACACAAAAGGGAAAAACACAGCTTCATTGAGGTTAGCCGATTTTACAATACAATAACTTCATTATCTCTCGCGAGGTGGGGGGGCTATTCTGAGATAATTTACAAAGGAAATTGTAACTGATCTTTATGCCTTGTGCTGTAATTATGTGTATCCGACCTTTTGCCGATGTTACTGGCTTAGCAGGCAGGCGCAAGGCAATTGATAATATAATACTAAAGCGCAGACGTCCCGTACTTCCAGGTGACTCTTGACTGAGGGCCACTGTAACATCATCGAGCTTCTTAGTGTTAGTCACAAGACGAGCAGCAAAGTTTTACACCAGTTGTAACTTTTGTAGGTTTTGCTTGATGGTACCAGCCCAGAAACGTATAACAGAATAACTTAGTAAGTACAAGCGAGTTTAGGATCAGAACAGGTCTAGAGAACAGATACCTAACCCAATTTATCTGACACAAGGTAGACAAGCGAGAAGACGTTATGCAGGTAAAATGTTCATTAAAAGTTCAATGAGAGTTCAGTACAATTCTTAAATACTTGACAGACGAAACAGGAACGAGCGCTTGTCCAAAGAACGGGTACACTCATGTCACCAGTTTTCCTGACTTGCGTCAAAAGCTGTCTGGCTCGAAGCACAATGAGTTTGGTTTCGCTAGGATTAATCAGCAGTTGATTTGAGCAGCACTACTTGGCAGCATGGCGGAGGTCTTCAGAGTTTCTCGCCAGCGAGAGGTCAACATCCTTAGACGAGAAGGACAGAAAAATCTTCGTATCATCCACATAAGATTCCACGCTGCTAAACTGGACTGCGTTTGGGAGATCATACATATGTAGACTTAACATTGCAGAGCGCAAGATAGACCCTTGCGGCACGCCATAATTTACTGTGAGCTGATCCGATAGTGAGGTGCCGACCCGTGTTAGCTGCATGCGGACTGTAAGGTAGCTTTCAAACGACTTGAGTTCCTGACTTGACGTACCTAGGTAGCATAACCTTTTAACGATTTCTTTGTGAATCCTACCCGAGTAGAGTCCAAAGATCCACTTAGCCTGCGAGCAAGCTCTCCTATTTGGGCAAGCGAAGCGAGCCTCCCACTCGACGGAAGGATCGAAGAAAAAAAAACAGGAAAGTGTTTAAAATCTTTTCACAGCTCTTACGTTCTTCACTTCGATCATCTTCTATACATGTATTTCTTCATCCCGCAGTTCCAATGCAAAAACTTAGTAATTCTTTTTTAATATCTTATTACGGTAATAGTGGTTTATACCTACTTAGACGGCTCCAACTGACTTTTTACTGTTATTATTTAAGTTTCATTTAGTGAATAATGATGTCGGTTAAACTAGTCTGAAATCCACTTTACACCTTACTTGCATCTTCCAAGTGAATCTCTTTGTCGCCTTCTGAAATTTGTTTTCTTTCTTTTGCTGAAACCTGTTCCTTTTCTTTCGATTTAGATTTTAACTGGAAAGAAAATACAAAGTTACTCAAATAGAGACAATAAAATGCCAGTAGTCATTTATTCGTTTTTTCCAAAGTGAGCTGCGTGTTATGGGCGCTTTGAGACACAAGAAGCAAGAGCTGCGTAACACTCGTGGCTCTTTACTTTTGGCGTTGCGCTTTACGTGCTATGAAAGAAAGACAAGAGACTTCTTGTAGCCTACAAAAAATGTGACATTTCTCAGCTCGTTTTTTTCCATTTGAACGTCATCTCTAAAGAGAATAAAAATCCTTAAAATATATATATTACAGGCGAGAGATGAATGGTGCAAAATCAGTAGCCTTTTCCAGGCTCTCAGATAGTAGGGATAACGCGGAAATATAACCGTGTGTACTGGCGCTTCCTCTCCCCAGTTTTCTCCCGATATATTTTCGTGTTCGCGAAGGGAGTTTAAGCAAAGATGTTTTTGAGCGACGCACGCCAACCGGAAGAGAGTTTTTTCTTTCGATATGACATGACGCTTCCAAATTTGTTTCCCTATGTGTCTTTTCTCGCATAGAGACGTTTTGCCCGAAAATTTGGTCAAAATCACGCCCCAAATATTGCAAAAAGTCCACTTCTGGTGGACGTGCGTTGAAACGTGGGACCCGACTGTCTCGGAGCTTGGAACAGGCTACGAAATCAGGGCTACTGACAGCCAATCAGGTAATAAACGTTTGGTATAATTACTATTATTCTGCGAATAGGCGCCTGAGTTATGCCAGCTTCTTTAAAATTGATACTATTTGAAAAAAAATTGATAAAAAAGAATTCATCAAGCTATGACGCCGTGTCATGGGATAGAAGCTCTCATCTAAGCCTATCCGCCAGCAGAGTATGACTGACCAATTTGCCGTGAGGATGGTTTGCGCCTTCCGTTCAATGTACTCTTACCTCTTTTGAAGTCTTTTTTAAAAGTTCCTTCATCCAGCCAGGTTGGCCTTCAGTCAGAATATCGGTCCCGGTCTTTCCTGCGTCTCCTGTCTTCGCCTCATCTTTATTTACACCTTCAAAGTTGGACGTTACTTCTGGCTTTGCAGTGTCGTTTTTCTATGAGGCAAGAATCACTGGATAAAATTACGGTTGATCTAAGAGCGGACAATAGACCTTCCCCCCGTTGCACAGGTGGACAAAAGCACACGCTCGATATATGAAAATTCTGACATGACTCCGACGCTTTCTAGTCATTTTATCTGGGAATTGCAAGACAATAGAGTCGTCAAAAATTTGAAATTTTTTACCCTAAACCTCGAAGTCATGTCAAAATTTTAGTATATCGAACGTGGGCTATTTCAGTCGTACAATTCACCGTATTTTGCCACACCAGGCCCCGAGTCGTTCTTGACAGAGATGCAGTGTTTTTTTTTGTCCTACCCCCTTGGGTATACCTAAATGTTCCGTGATTAAAGACGATGTTCTTTCCATGAAGAAATTCATTGATTTAACACTGTTGTGCTGTCGAAAAATCTTAAATTAATGCTTACATGTATAAGCCCTGGGCACTTTCCCTAACCTTATTCATCGTCCTAAGGTTTGCTTGGAGGGGTAATAAACGGAGGCGCTTAAATTCAAGCTAGGCGTAGGTGGGGGTTAGATCCGCGGGAGCTTATAGCAGCAGTTTACGGCGTTATTATTGTTACGATTGTCTCGATGGAAATTATATTTTTAAACTCATTCTGGGAGTCGGTATCAGTGTTATTGTTGCTGTCCGTTTCAAATGCCTCGGTATTCACACTGAAGTAAACGCGAACCACCTCTTAAAAGCACTGAAAAGACTGTAGAACTAAGTGAGTAAACGGCACCATAAATGTCAGATGACAATTGAGCGTTTGCAGTAACAACAGCCTGCGAAGCAAGCTTTCCGTTTGGTTTCGAAGCAAAGAACGAGGAACGAGAGTCAGAGACCACGCGCAAATTGGCGCGAGTAAAAGAACGGGAAGGCGGCGGGGAAGAAAATAAGGAAACGCGTTTCCTTCCTTCCCCTCTCCCCTCTTTCATTTTTTAGCTCTCGTTACATTTTTCGCGCGGCCAAAACCGAAAATTCCGTTACACGGTCTTTCTTGCTCCGAAACCAAACGGAAAGCTTGCTACGCAAGCTAGACCAACGGTAACATGGGGAGCAACACATCATATGGATTGGCACATGTAGGGAAACGTCTTTTATGTCAGGGGGGGGGCGTATCTCAGTATGCTTAAAACGTATTGTACATGGGTGAAGTTTCCCGTCTGATCACTTTTTAAATACGTACTTTTTCATCTGCACACTCCATGTGCTTCAAATCTTCCTCAAAGAGAGCGATATATTTTTTCTTTTTAAGAGTTTCTTCTAAATGTAAATCATTTAAGGAAAGTAAGCAATAAAGATTCAAATTTAAAGATCAAAACTTAAAACTTCAGTTAAGTAAATGCACATTAGCGTACCTTGGCTTTCGCGATCGACGGCCAAAGCCAGAAAAAATGGCAGAAAAATCAAAGAAGTCCACATAAGTTTCGTTGTAAAGAACCCTTTAAAGTTAAGATTAAAGTGAGGTTACTATTAACCATATTCCTTCTACAGTCAACCCTCGCCTTGCGAACACCCCGCTAATACGGACAGCAGCTAAACCCCAGGCAAAAATAAATTACAGATGTTTAAATGAAATAAACTTCCGCTATTACGGGCCCTCGCTGATGAGGGCACTGATTCAAGGTCCCTACAGTGTCCACCATAAAGGGAGTTGACTGTATTATGGCGAAAGAAACATTGAACTTAAATGACCTGCAAATGATGTTTTCTAGAATTAAGCAAATACATTTTCGGGAAAAGTTTTTTGTCTGCAGGACGTGGCAAACGGTTTTGTAATAAGTTGAACTGAGCCAAATGGCCTCCCTGGGGCCAGAAATAATAATGAATCATCAGCATCATCATCATCATCAAAATCATATCACATATCAAAATCAAGGTCATATTTCAGGACTGGGAGATGGAGAATTACAGTCATCTCTCTTTATAGCGGAGACTCTAGGGACCTTGAGTTCCGCCCGAAATAACAGGAGTTTATTTCGGTCAACCATCTGTAATTTATGTTTGCCTGGGGTTTAATTGCTGTTTGTATTATCGGGGTGTCCGCAAGGCGACAGTTGACTGTAATGTTAAAAGATTATCGCGGTAATAACAATTACAAAGAGAAACGCCTTTCTATAAATAACAGTGATTCTTTTAATTTGATTCCACAACCACAGTTCTAAGATATGATTTTCATACATTCGTCCTTATCATTTAACGAGTCGATTTTCTCCGCAACTGTGACAGTGTCATGTTCCTAGAGCAAAGCGTTGTTGGTGTATCTTTATGCTATAGAGCCGGCGAGCTATTAGCCAATCATTTTTAAAGATTTTGGATTCGGCCTCAATGAGATGCTTTACAAGTTATCAATAATGGCCCTTAGTTCGATTTTTCAAGTTTTTTTTTTTCGTATCTTTAGTGTTCAGCAAAGATGTTCTTTTTATCTCTCAAGCTGTGAGTGAAATTTGAATGGAACAAGGTTTAATCTTCAACTGATATTTCTTTTCTTTCTGTCCTTTTGGTATTACTGGTGGTAGTAAAGAAGCCGCTCTCCCACGAAGTCATAGTTTCTTTGCGAGAATTAAAAAAGGAAACAAAAAAGAACAGGGTAGTTAAGCTCCAGAAACTCCCTATAGTAGTAAGGATAGCTTCCAAAAACAATCAGTCAGCCAATCACAGCCACGAATCTCGGCGAACTTTAGGCTGGAAAACTTGGTTCATCTTAAGATATGGCTGGGGTGAACGTTATACTTTGCTTGTGGGTGAATGTTAGGTTTTAATGGGATTCTTACAGAACATGCATACCTAAGTGCATATTCTGTGTGTCAATCTGTGCATATTTCTGTTATTCCATCCTGTTTGATCAAAGAGCTAAGTAAGACGTAAACGAACATAACATAAACTCAGTAAGCCGGGGGGTAAACCGTTATCATGACGAAAGCTAGGTTAAGCAGTTGATTTTCTTTAAATTCCACTCGACTTAAATTCTATTCTTTTCGTTACCTGTTATTATTGCCACTCAAAAATCTTCCCAGTAAAAATACAAAAGCTAATCCCTCTCTGTTTTACTGACTGAAACACGGTAATCGAAAGTAATAGAATTTTAAACGCTGGTAAAAGTTCAGTTGCGAGCATCTAGTTTTTTTTTTATTTTCCCTTTTCCGCTATGGTCGTGAATGAACGTTGAGTGATTGGTGTCAAAAAAGTGCGATTGAAAGTTGGCCATGGAAAAGTCAGACAAAGACAATAACAAAAAATAAAAACAAGAACAACCACAGCAACAAATAACGAACGTACCAACCTTTTTAACAGTATGTCAAACCTCGAGATCTGATCCCTCTCTCTTGTAGATGTTTCAATGTTAGCAAGCAGTTCTGTTTTATCAGTCAAAGACCTTATTGATGATTTGAAATTCTTACCCTAATGAACCTTATGTTCAGCTGCTTTGTTAATGGAAGATGTAGTTAAGGGTGACTGACTCTTTCAGTAGGTCATCATCATTTCAGAGTCAAGTTAAGATTAGATGCCCCTATTTTGACCTTTCCAGTCTGGTACCATCACTGGAATATATGGAAAAATTACATAAAGATTTAAATCGAAAAGAGAGATCGGTAACGCACAATGTTCTGACAAATAAACCCAGTATTGTGAAGTATATGAAATAAATTATTTTTGAACTGCGGTTGTAGATGAAAGTGAAGAATGATCATCGCAGTAAATTTTCCAATTTAAGAATTTGGAAAGAAGAAGCCTGAAAAAAAAAACCAGGGCTTCAACGGAATTCGGACCCAGTGTTGTTAACAGATGAAATAAGAGAATGGCAAAAAAGGCAGCAAAATATTCGTTCATCTTAAGAGCTGGGCAACACGGCCTGCCTGTTTTTTAGTTAACGTACACTGAGCTAAATTACCGGGATTAGTAGGTGATAATGTCCTTGTGTGCACGAAAGGTTTAACGCTATGCAAGACAAACCAAACTGTCTTTAAACAGATGACGGTGTAGCTCTACTGTTGTTGTTTTTTCAAACAAAATAAAAAAAAAAAACAATTTCATATCGCGCAACAGGTATCCACCAAACGTCATTTAACTTAAAGTGCGCCATAGTTAAACTTTAAACAGTAAATTAAAAGGAGACAGCTGACTTTTTTGGGGAAAACCGCCTTTCTTAACTGATGTTATTGGATCCTTTTTAATGAAAAAATTGCGCTGTAGAATTACTTTTTTAAAACCTCTGCGCATGTTTCTCGCCTAAAGCTAGAAAAGAGTGGGGGGGGTTACCGGTTTAATTTTGTAGTTAGTAGTGTAGTAAATCTTAAATATTGAATAACCCTTGGAATACGTTGCCATAATAACCGCGAATGACGAAACAACATTCATTTTTAGTCAAGTACTCACTGTTTTTAAAAGGGACAGGTTCACGGTTCAGCGCACGCCCATTTATCAAAATGCTGTTTTTCTGCCTGGACATGCTGTATCATCTACGTAAGCAATATGATCACGTCATAATGTTGCAAAAAACCAATCTCCACACCCCCCTGAGTCCCCTGGCAGTCACTTGCACTTGATCAACTTAAATATTTGCAAATAGCTTTAAATTAATCACCCATGGAATAAAACCTTCGGGTCAACAATGAATTCAACGTTAGTAGTGTTGGCATAATCCACTAATTTTTTCTGCGATTTTAGTACTCCTCCATGATCCTACTTCAGGTTACTCTGAAATACACTTTTACTTTGAATTACACTTGAGATCGCTGAGATACATGTGCGTGGGATTATTAACCGATAGAATTAATAATGAATTGGGAAAAAATAATTTAATTAAGGAGAATGCGCTTAACCGTGAACCTGTCCCTTTTAATCTAACTGAACAAGTATATACCAAAGTGCCGCTATGAGTTTGCATAAAAGGCGCATTTCAAGGCCGTGAAAAGAAAAGAAAATTTTCTGCTTTTAATTAGTTATTTATTTGTGTTTAAAAGATGGTGTATACACCGTATTCACAAATGGCGGACACGCGGGAAAAAACTGGTGCCTAGTCATGAAAGCGAGGCGTTGGAGGATAAACAAAAATTGCAAATGAAGACTTTCAGTGAAACTTGCAGAGTGTTTAGCACGGATTCCACCTAAAATAACTTTGTACGGACTTCTTTTCAAATACAATTACGTGGGATGTATTCTAATTTTAATGTTTAGTAGTGATTTGCTGTTTGCAATCAAAAGGGACGCGTATATCTTCAAGGAAACAGGATGATTTTGTAGGTTTCCGAAGCATCAGAAGCTCGACACGACAAGTGGGCGATGACTGGAGAAAAGCGAAAAACATGTTGGCCCAAACTTCACACTGAAACCGAATACGAAAGCCAGACCACTACAATTCTGTAAAACAGAAATAAAAACAGATATTGGTGGCGAGAAAAAGAGAAATAAGCGACGGACATATGGCCTACTTGTCAACGGAAGAGACCTCCGCCATTACACAAAACAGGTCAAGTCGAGAGCGGGTGAAAGATTCATTCACGAGGCTTATTCATTCATGTCAGTGTCATTTTCTACATATCTATGTATATATGTATGTCTGTATTTACAACTGCCTTTGGAGCGAATTGTTCGAGGTACGTTGCCAGAGCTTAGCAAAAACCTCATGATTTCTTTGTCATTGCGAAATAATTGAAAATAATTTTATCAAAAATTAGAAGCTGTAGTGTGTGAATCTTATGGCTTGCTATTTGCCTGGTCTCCTTTTGGGCATTATCTCAGAGAGCTTTTGGTAAAAAAGTGGTATAAAGCTTACATTTTACTAGGTTAAACTTTTAAGGCAATGTTTGTGTCATGACTGAACACGGCAAGCTTCTGTTTCGAATAATTAAATTCGAGTCTGGATCCGTTTAAGAAGACCATCACTTTATTTATTTATGTATTCTTCAACTTTAAAATATTATGGAACATAAAGTTAAAACTCTTAACAGCCAAAGATAAGAAATACGAAATTACTCGCTGAAATGATATGTGTCCGGCTTACCGAGTCTGCCGAGTAACAAGTTGAAATTTGAGCGTACTCCACTCGATCGCTCCTGCATTGATACTAAAAAAGTAGTTCTAATTGATGTCCTTCATCGATAAAGACCAGAGAATAACGTCCTGGCAAACAAAAACCAAACATAACTTCTTCGAAACCTCAGTCACCTGTTCTTTCCTGTCGTCCTTTTTTCCATCTCGACTTGAACTGTTTTGTTCAACGGCAGACGTCTCTTGCGTTAACAAGTAGGCCATATATCTGTCGCTTATTTCTTTTTCTCTTGCCACCAAGATTTGCTTATATTTCTGCTTCACCGAATTGCAGTTAGCTGGCTTTCGTACTTGGTTTCAATGTGAAGTTTGGGCCAACATGTTTGCCGCTTTTCTCCAGCCATAGTCCACTTGTCGAGCTTCTGATGCTCAGGAAACTTACAAAATCATCCTGTTTACATGAAGATATACGCGTCCCTTTTGATTACAAACAGCAAATCATTACTTGACATTAACAGCAGAAGACATCCGACGTAATTGTATTTAAAAAGAAGTCCGTACAAAGTTATTTTAGGTGGAATCCGTGCTAAACACTCTGCAAGTTTCACTGAAAGTCTTCATTTGCAATTTTTGTTTATCCTCCAACGCCTCGCTTTCATGACTAGGCACCAGTTTTTTCCCGCGTGTCCGCCATTTGTGAATACGGTGTATTGGATGCCACTTTCCAATGGAAGGTAAATGAGAGGCGTACCTTTTCTGTCAAAAATGGTATATTTAGCAATTAATGAATGAGGCTGAGTAGGATATGAAATTAAGCAGATCGAGGAGGGTGTTATCCAGCAACCAAGATGGATAACACCCTCCGAGATCTGCTTAATTCTTGATATCCTACGAAAGCCGAATTCATTAACTGCTGTATTATTCCTTCAAAATAATTCCTAGTTTAAAAACATAGCTGAAACATGCTTACCTGCATCGCTGTTAAGTTCATCTTCAATACTGTACGTTTAGGTTTGTCCAGCTCCGCAAATATTCTCCCAATAGCAGATGTCGCCCTCCGAGTTGTCTTCTTGCTGTTTTTGCCATGTTCTTAGCTCTTATTTCGCCTAGCTCCAGCTGTAGTTCTTACTCTTGAAACGACTGAAATGTCCGCCATTTTGTTTTTCACAACCAAAACAACTCAACCTCGTCCCCAGGTCTTCTCGGTTAACGGTGCCTTAAACTGTAGAGGGCTGCATTTTTTACGTCATGTCCGCGTTAAACACAAAATTCGTCCAATTTGGTCATAAGTAACTGGTTACGGTGAATTATACGTGTGCTTGTAGCCAATCAGAATTGGGGAAATATTTTGAATGAATAATAAAAAAGGTTAAGGGTTGGACCTCGGCGGATCCTCCCCGTATAACATTTTGTTCAGTAGCCCCGGGCCTCATTTGCAGGAACAGAGACTTTGTAAACAGAAACCTTCGTAGTTGTAGGCAGTCTAAGGTTTTCGCTGTCCCCAATTGCCACTTTCGTAGCGCTTATCCTGTCGGCAAAATTATTTAGGGTGACACGACAAACAGCACTTTAAATGTCTCATTACTACGACTTTAATAACTATAGGAGAGGTCAAGAAAAACTTGATATGTACAATACTACTTGACAACAAATATTTTAATTGTGCGACCTAGGGGCCTCAGTGAACCAGAGATCTGCTTTCGACTCGACTAATTCTATAGTCACACGTAGTGTATTCATATTCTTGGCCGTGAAACTATGATAGCTTGTTGTTGAGGTTAACACTGGAGAATATCATTACTTAAAGAAAAACGGAAACTATTTCAATTTTCTACGAGTTTACCGGCACAGTAAACCATAGGTTTTTAACCAATCAGAACGCGCGTACAGAAAGTCGCCGCTCATTAGCTCCTGTAGTTTCTACAGAGAATACGAATATCGTATTTATTCGAATAAGCACCGCGGCCCCCAAATAGTCAAAATATGACGTCAATTCTGTTAGCTTAACACGGAAAATAACAATTTCTTAGTTACAACAACTCTTTGTCGCGTCCAACTTTCAAATAAACGCCGCCCTCAAATAGACGCCGTATTTGAGGCGTGGAAAATTTTATAAGCACCGCGGCGCTCAGTCGAGTAAAAACGATTATGCAAATGTTGTCAACGTTGTGTCTGGCTGACGAAAAGTACTGAAGTGACAACACGAAACTACACATGGCGTAACTTAGACATTGCATGCATTAAGTTATCTTCCATAAAGTAGATGTGCCTGGACCTCTTCTCGGAAGAGGTGCACTATAGTTCGATTCTTGTAAGCGACCACCTCCCGTAAGCTGCCACTCAGTCTTTGCATTTCTGGTGGTCGCTTACGGGAGTTTCGACTGTACATTACAAGCAGTTGTCACGTACACTCGTATCTTAACCACGTATTTTTACTACGTGACCAAGTTTCATCTTTACTTGTCGTTTACTGTTCATCATTTCTACACACAAGTTCGTAGTTTCACGCAATTTTATCCATAAGAATTGTTTTGAGCTGTTTTTATCTGCTCAAACTTGAACTTTTCAAACGTCAGCCTCACGTTTGCCGTTTGCTGTATAGGTGAAGCTAAAACTCTCTAAAATTCCTGTGTAGACTGGTGGCTGACACAAGAAAAAAAGCTTATTTTGTATGAAGTGTGATAACCGCACTAAACTGCATGATTATATGTATATTTTATGATCACAAGTCAAATATGTATAGAGCGTATGTATTTTAAAATGCGCTTAAAAGAAAGAAAAGTAAAAAAAAGAAAGAAAATGCCCGCATGAATCCAGGAAAAATTGACAGTATTTTGAAAAACCCGAGCTGCTCCAAACGCACCAGTATCAAGAGGAGAATCTGTAAATTTGATTTCCCTAAAAGAATGACTGTTACTTCTTTTCATAACCAAGCTGAACCAGCTGACCTGTTTATGGCAAGTATCATTTAAAAAATAACGGACAATTTCGAAACATTTTACTTTCAGGGAATCAAATTAACTGACTCCGTTCATAAATACATTAACAGCTATATAAATATTGGTGTTTTTAAGTACTCTATAACAGCTAACGTAAAGTTTACCCATGCGGTGCAAGCATGGACTAACTGAAACCTGATATAAACAGGTATAATTCGTAGGTTATTGGGTCGCCCTATGTTACCTCGTCCCCAGGCCCTTTGCAGTAAAAGGAGACGGGAAAAACAAAGACCCTGGGAACGAGATTTGTAGAGTAACATGTGTAACCTAGACAACAGAGGAATCCACCGTTCTAAATATGCCAAAGGCAAGTGCAGCACTTTACAGGCTCATAGCAAATTCCTCGCCGTTCACGTCGGTTGAGAACAGAATCTGGCCACAGATAGTTCATCAACCAAAACGGGAGCATGATGACCAGAAATCCTGTAAAACAACAGAATTTTGTATTGAGTACACTTTATAATAGCCAACCATGAAGTAGTCTTCGTCGCAGCTGTTATTAGGGCTGTCACACAACGCTCCTCCCACCAGTAGGGAAGAGCTTTGCGTGACGACCCTAATAACGGCTGCGAAGGAGACTAGCGATAAAGAGCGTAACACACTTACTGTAAAACCGCATACCTGAATGCGGGTGCGCGAGGGAAAAGTGGGGGGTGGGGGGTTAGAGAAGGGGAATCCCTTCCTACTTCCACGTGCACCCGAACTTCTACCTTTCTATTCCCCTTCGAACGCCTCCAACGTAGACTAGGATACTAGGATCCGGCCAGCCTAAATTGTGTGCATTAATGCGATATTTAATTTATTCATATGCTTCACTTTCACCTTTTAAACCCGTAAAATCTCAAATCTCGTGACACGCGATTAGGTTTAGATTGGCAAAAAATCAACTTTGCACGTGCATCACGCTTTTCTGTACATTTCTTAGCCGTTGTTGCAAGACTGCAACATGAAACGTCCTATTTCGTTTTATTTTATGGAGTAGGTGAGCACAACACAAAAAGTTTCTTTTTCTTTTCCTAAACTTAGATACGGTCCTTTCGGATTTAACCCAGAAAATTTCGCTAACATTTGGCAAATTAAATGAATGTGAATAAGATCGATGAAGTTTGAAACAGTGCGAATTTACTTTTTAAGGGAATTTTCGGTTTGTTGTCATTAAAGAAATTTACTACTATGGCAACATGACGTAACGACTTCTCCTCTCTATAAAGACTATATTATACGGCCAAAAAGGACACAGAAAGATCTTTTCTTGCGCAAATAAGGCGAGAAATTCCGAGGAGATACGCAAATAAGACAAGCCTTCCTTGCCTGCTTGGTATCCAATCAAAACACAAGATTCACTTTATCTTGCGCGCTTGGGATTTAGCCATATAATAAATATGCTTAATTGACCAAGCATGACATCAAAATGACAGGATGTTGGCCTTGCTCTTTTTCTGCATTTTTTATAAGACCTCAACTTTGGTCCATAAAAACTGAGAGTAAAAACCTTGGCCAATATTCAGCCATCTTGATCTCTAAACTTTGGTCAATAACGCATTTTATGTTTCTTCTTCAAACAAACTGGTTTCAATATGGCTGAGGGGGCCTGAGGCGGCCATTAAACTTCATATGGAGAGGGGTGAGATCAAGAGCTTTGAAAATAGTATTTTTTTTTGTAACTCCACCACGCTTCTTTTATCTCTCAGCCAAGATTTCAAAAAAGTAAATTGTTCCCTAATACCATCTAGTACGCCACTGTTACAATTACAGACCACAATTTACACAATGTAAGCTGATTAACTCAACCAGTGGCCTTGGTGTCTCCTATACGTCTCACAAAACAGCAACTATACAATATTTAACAAATTCGAGCACTGAAACAAGTTAAACTCATCACTAAAATTAAATCATACGCTGGTACAATGTACAACATCTCCATGTACCAGTTTTTTTTAGACCATTTGCCTAATAAGACAGAAGCTTAACACATGTGTCAAACCTACCTGTTGTAAGAAGAGCAAATATCCCAAATGAGAGACATAAATAGTACAACTCAGGAGCATATCCTTGCTAAACAAGAGAAAGAACAAAGGAGAATTATTCATAGTGACTTTAATAGTGTACCTCGCTGCAATGTCAGGATATGTAAGCAATAGGCCATGTGACTGAAAGTTTGCACTATCTGAGGTGCTGTGTTCAGCGAGTAAAGAAAGTAGTGTCCGATAGCCCGGGGCTAGTGGATTTTGCTTTTGCAGTGGGGCTATTTTAAATAACTTGTGGGCTAGTAAATGCTAGATTCAGTTTGCCCGAATGACAAGCTGTAAAAATGATTTTCTTTGCACCCTGTGTGTTTGGGTTGGAGAATAGAGCCTGGGTGTTTTTGAATGGATTGTGATCCAGTTTTTTCCCTTTCTTGGGGAGTTGGGGCCTAAATTTGTAGGATTTGCTTTGGTATTACTATTAAATTGCATTAGGCCACTTTCCTTCTACTATCAAGATCCTTCAGGATTTTTCTGGGGATTTTGTTATGTAAACTTTGCAGGGAGAACCAAATTTAATAAACTCCGGTTTATTGGCAACTATTGAGAACACCTGGGATTGTAAGGATGTTCCCAGTTCCTGCATGCTTATATAACTTAAAAAATGCACTTGGCATACAGTTGACTCCTGATAACTCAAACCTTGTGCTAACTCGAACTAAAGTTGATTTCTCTTGGATTTCCTTTACACATTTACTATAATTTTACCCATGACAACTAGAACCACCGCAAACTCGAAGTAATTTTTGTTTCCTTTCAGGTCATTTCTACATAATTTTACCCTTGATAACCCGAACCATGTTTTAAGTGCATAACAAGTTGAAAAAGAAAAGCATTGTACTGAAGTCTGAAACATTGAATTTCGAGAGATTAAGCATCGTGTTTAATGCAAACATGAATTTGTACCACGTGACAAAGTTTTCGATAATTATTACTTATCGTTTACAGTTCATTATAACTACACGAAAGTCCACAGATTCACACTAATTCTTTCCATAACAATAAATTATTTGAAGCTGTTTTTATCTGCTCATTTCTCATTCTGACAATTTTACAACTTGAGTCTTATGTTTGCCGATTGCCGTAAACACGATGCTTAATCTCTCTTTTATTTGAAAACAACCGTGTCAATTCTTTGTCTTTACTTTTATGTCACTCCACTTCAAATTCAGTTTCCATCCCTATATATTAATCAACATTTGCTGCTTAATTCATTTTTCAAAATAACAATTTTTATGTCATCCAATGCTGCCTTTGAAGTAGAGAGTGCATGATACTTGCATTCCCTCCCAATCCATTTGCTTCTTTCCCTGTTTCCGGTTCATTGCCTCGCACTCGAGTTCCTGATCACTCAAACTTTTTTTGGTCTCCCTAGAAGGTTTGAGTTATTGCGAGTCAAACTGTACTTTTTAACTCTGAGGTTCCCATAAAAAAACAACAAGAAGAAAACACTCACACATAATTCAGAGGCAAATGTTGATGCAAACAGTACCATGCCAAGAATGAGGGATCCAAAGCCAAAGAAATGAAATGCAATCTTAAGCTGCCATGGCACAGGTTCCATGATTGCGAATAAAAATGTAAAAGCTGAGAATAAAATAACAATGGATCTGCATTGATTCCACATGTTGCTGCACAAGTTCATGTTACAGTATTTATGTACATGTATAATGTATGCAAAAACACAGGCTATGACTGCCCCCTTCCCCCTCCCCAAGGGAAAAGCAGCCCCTACCCCTCTCCCCCAGACAATGTTGTTCTTTGTTGAGTAAGGTCAAATGAAAATAACAATGGATAGTGTGTTTTGTAGAATATCACTTGGCATGTCATTTGCATGTTGTGATTAAACAAGGTGTTTAGTTGGGTTGCACTTCACTTCAGAAAGCTGCATGCACTCTACAACATTGAAACCTGAGGGGACGGAAGAGGAAGGGGTGCTGCAACTACCACGCGGCACAAAATTTTTGCGGGAGTTTATTTTTGTGGATTGGCGATTTTTTGTGTTTTGCAGGAACTAATTTTCGCGATTAAGACCGATTGATTTTTCTTACTGGGAATTAATTTTTACGATTTTTAGAAAGTACCCAGTAGATAGCATTGATAATATTTTCACTTTTATTGAGTATGTGTGATAGAAATACATATTTTCAAGCAACAAACCATTATTTCAGTGTTTGTGAATGAAAGAGACAAGTTGTGATTGAAGAGACATGATTTCTTAGTACTGTATTTTTGTGTAGCGAATTTAAGTTAGAGAATATTTACTCTGAAGTAAATTTTTGCAGGAAAAATGTTTGTGGTAATTTTTATTTGTGGGAACTTATTTCTGCGGATCGCTGGAAGAATCGCAAAAATTAGAACCCTCAAAAATTTCGTGCCACACGGTAGCTTCCAGGATCTAGCACAAAGGACAGGATGTAATGAAGTGGTGAGCGATAATCAACTAATCTCACTTTTAGTGAGATATTTTGCAGCACATGCAAAATAAGCACGGAAAAAGTCAAAGTACAAAAGCAAATCCACAATAAAAGTCATAGTCATGCTACAAGAAATTTTGCTGCCAATTTGTAGGCAGTTTAGAATAATATTATTTCTTGTTGTCTGTAAATTTCAGTTGGAAAGGGAATGTTTAGACTACTGTCAAGCCCTGAGCTACTACATGTAGTTAAGCCACAGATCAAACATAACCAGAGACATATTATTAGCTGAAAAAAATTCATTGTTTGGTGAAAGAAACTCAGTGTCATGTTGGACATTAGCACTACAAAAGAAACTGCCAGGAAAGAGGATGTGTTTTTGCACATAATTATGTTGAACCTTACTGTAAATTAATAGTCACAGGTCAAAATTTTGCATATCACAAGGATGATTTTCCATGAAGACCTTCAATTTATCCTTGACCTCATTGATGGTGTCCGCGATGGAAAATACCTCTTGAAAACCCATGGAAACTTCCGAGACTCTAAATTTCAAAATGACCCTTGATGCCGCAGCCCTCAAGAACTTGTGCCTTTGGTGCAAGTTCCAAAGCTGCCTAGTATACATTATCAGCCTACTACTTAAAAACTTTTGCCAGCCCTGGGCCCCCCCCTCTCCAAGGAATGGATGAAGTTTAGCAGTAGTTATTGGAATTTCCAGAGGTGTGTGGGGTCTTAAGTGGAAGTTATGGATATGATCTGGACCTGCACATTGTTTTTCAAAATTACGAGGTTAAAAGAACACCAGACGGAGAAAGTACACTGTACCTATCATAGCGAATGTAAAAACAATGCCTGCAACTGAGATGTTGAGCAAAGGTTCATCACAGGTCCGAGAGCTAGGAGGCCTACAGCAAATAAAGTAAAAAGCACAAGTAAGTAATATAGTAATTTTGCTTTAAAACGCATTGGCCCCAGCTTATTGGCCACAGGTAGTGGATCCATTTTCTGGTCATTATCCGGCCAAAAAGAACCAAAACAGCCCAAAGCACTGCACTGTTTATAAGTCAAGCACTTCCTGATGTTAGATATCAGCTTCTGAAGTTCAGGCACGGCCAGAAGGCAAAACGTTGATACTTTTACATTTCACTTAGTTCTCCTTCCCAATTCTTTTGCAATTCTTTCCTCTTTCTTTGGGGGGGGGGGGGGGGGGGTTGGGCTGGGCAATAAATTATTACTTAAGGCACCCACTCAGGTGAAAAAGTTTCAACAAAAATTATAAGGGTTGTGAATTAATAATTTTTCAGTAGAAAGTGCACGGTATGTGTATGGGTAAGTAGTCAATTTTCTGGTCAATCTTAGATGTTCATTTTACATTTTTTCTCTGGCCTGTTTGCCTGATTCATGCTCATGAAAGATCTCTTTTTCCTGCTCGAGTTGTAGGTGTCAAAATAGTCTATGACCATTCAAACCAATGACATCACAAGTAGTACAAGGGATGGGGATCCTCATGGGCAGATATGAGCATTTGAAGGGTAAAAATACACCCCTCAAAAACTGTAGCTGTGGCAGTTCGCAGCCCACATCACAGACAGAACTAAACTTCTGGTTAATTCTGCCTGCAAAACAGCATCAATATCCTTGTTCTGGGCCTTCAAAAGTGTACCAGGGGTGTCATGATTTGGATGTCATAGTTGATTTGCCAATCAGGTTGAAGGAAAAATTGAAACAAATGTTCAGTGGTTAATTGAGTCAGTTGTGGACCCAGAATAAGGATATCAGCACTGCTTTGCAGATGTTACTGACCAGGGTTAGGTTACATGTATGTCTGCGATGCAGGCTAAGGGAGTCTAAACATACCATGAAAAGGAATTAAGGTTTAACAGAAGGTTACCTATAGAAAGATCTTTTACAGGTCAAAATTAAATTCAGATAAAATTTTTTAACCTAGGGTGATTCTTAATTTCCTTTGTCTCCTAGCCCTAATTATTCATGAACTAGGACTCGGAGACAAAGGAAATTGAGAAGCAACCTAGGTAAATAACACATTTTATAGCAATTCAATGTCCAGTCATTAACCATTCAAGCCCCAGTATCTACAAACAAATTTTCCAAACTGATCTCCATACATTTCCTTTAAGAATTAGTTAAGAGAATTTGATAAAAGATCCAGGCATTTTCTCTTTGGTGATCATTTTATTAATTCTCATAACCCTCCCTCTTAACAATGGATGTTGTTAGGAGAAAATTGATATTGGTCAGTATTGGGACTTCAAGGGTTAACAGGGTTAATGACTGTACCTTCATTACTATTACAAACCTTCAGATTGCAAATGGTTGTCTTACTATTTTGGCATGAATACAAAGCTACAGGAATGATAACTATCATCTGACATAATTTAGGTATATTTGAGTAAGACCAGCTGTTATTTGCAGGTTGATATTTCTTACATTTTACATGCAATTTTGATTATTTGTGTCTCAAATGTTGAGCACTCATGGATGTGTACTACATGTATTAGCATTTATTTATAAAGTTCAACATCGGTAAAAAAGGTTATGATCACTCAAAATTTGCCACTTTAGAACAAGAAGGAAACTGGAGCTGAAATGCGTGCCACAATAATATTTACTGTTTCTGGGGTTGCTACTGACGACGTGCTAGTCAGCTACAAAGTATTTGGCCAAAGTTTTTTTCCTGTCTCTTGTAACACTCCCAGAAGTCATTGCAAAAGTAAACTTGATCAATTTTTCTTCTTGTTTCGCAAGTGGCAAGTAGAACCTATTAAGCTGGCTTGCTCTTTATGACATTCTTGTGTTTTCCGTTGGTTTTACATGTGTTCGTCAAGTCAAGTTTGACACCATCTCAAAGAGGAGAATCACTTCTAATGGTTAAAAGCTCTTTCCAACCATTTTTCAAACTAAAATATTATGTTACTGTATATTACGTAAATAAGTAGTCGATACTTACAGCTGAATCACATATACTTGTGGTATAATGAACATAAGGGCAAAAAGTACAACAGCAAGTCTCCTGTTGAAAAAATAAGGTTGCAATTATCAATGCAATATTTATGAAATAAATCAACATTTAAAACTAATTGAATATTGTTCTCAGTTCATGCAAAAAAATGTCTTTTTTTGTCAATGTATTTAGCACGAAAGTACTAATAATAGGCTCTTTGCATGACTGTGATCACGTGATCAACTTTCGGTAAACACGAAAACAGTTCACTTATGAAAAATTTTGTTAGCACGAGCTAAAAGAGCATATTAAAATTAGGTAACCTGAGCATTTTCAGCCGTATATCTCAAAAGCAGCGATTGCAACGGCCCCCGAAAGTTAGAAGCATTTGTATGAGAAAAACGACTTTTGCCACCCAGTCACGCTTGCTTGGTTTTTCATACAAATCCTTGTAAATTCTAAAGTTTTTAAACTGTCGTTAAATCTTTCCCTTATGCATTTAAGGGCTCAAATTGCCTGTTAAGAATTAAAAGGAGATTTGACCCCTGTAATGCTTAAGGAAATATTTCATGACAGTTTTGAAAATTTTGAAATTACAAGGATTTGTATGGAAAACCATGCAAGGGTGACTAGATGGCAAAAGTTGTTTTTCTCATGCAAATACTTCCAACTTTCAGCGGCCATTGCAATCGCTACTTTGGAGATATATGGCTGAAAATTCTCAGGTTACCTAATTTTAACATGGTCTTTCCGCTTGTGCTAACAAAATTTTCCAAACATGAACTGCTTTCATTTTTACCGAAAGTTGATCACATGATCAAGTCATGCAAAGAGCCTGTAATTGAGGACACTACTTTAATGTCTCCTTCCAGTGATGGAACTCCCATTTACATGACTTGTAATGTGTGATTCCAGAAAATATCCATACCCCCCACGGATGGTCAATGGAAATTCCTAAGGGCTGGGGGGCTAAAAAAAAGTAAAATTTCCGAGGGGTATGGGGTGTGCCCACGAGAAGAATTTTCCACGGGGTTGTAAAAGACGCGAACAATCGTAGGAGTCATACTCAAGTATATGTGGATTATTTTGATTTGTATCACAACAAAAATCAGAAATAGATGCCCTTTCGAGAAAAAACTTAAAGATGTAACAGTCGGTCTGTCCAACCTTTCACTTTGACGAAGTCTTTAAATAAATATTGTCCTTCAGGCAAATCAATCGCAATTCTCAACAGGTCCTTTGCTTCTCCGGGAATAAATTTTAGCGCATTGGTTAGTAATGTTGATTATGTATCTAGAGTGCAGACTCGATTGCAGACTAGTCTGATAAAAACTTAGGTCAATCGAGAACAAACATCATCTATCTCGGCGCTATATTTCTCGAGCTTCGTGTAAACAACTTTACTCAAATTTCTGTTGACATTCAGCGAGAGCTCATCGTGACAAAGCCTTGCGTGACGACCCAAATGAGAGCTTTGCTGTATTTTATTATTGACTTCCAATAAAGTACCGTTGAAGGCAAGCTGTTTGTCGAACAGACTTCTCGCCAAATCAACTTTTGCCCGAAAATATTAACGATCTGTTTCTTCTTTGTCGAGGAGACTTTCGATCACATGCTAGGCGATGAAATAGATCATGTTTCACCGATGTTCATTTCTGAACACGAATCGATGCAAATATGGGACGCAAAATGAATGTTTGTATATTAATTTTTGTTCTTTTATAACCCAAGTTAAGTTAAGTTAAGGTTTTTTGTAATTTCTGAAATTTGTTTAACTGTAAGCGTAATTCATTCAAAGTTAAGATTAATTACAAACATCGACTTTGTGGTGACTTTAGGACCCGAGGCAGAACATTTAATGCTAAACTTTGTTTGTAAGTTAGTTTTTAGTAGATCGTTTTGAAATTCAAATATCTTCATCTAGTTTAATGTTAAATCAATAGTTAACTTTGAAGTTATGCTGTACTAAATGTTGCTTTTAAGATGAAACTGACTTAGACTAGACAGGTACATCATTGAAACTTAATTATGGTATCATAAATTCAACTTTAGAACTGGAAGCAGAAGATCAATCGATAAACTTTGCCAGTAAGAAGATTCATTTTGAAATTCGAAAATGTTCACATAGTTTTATTTCAATGAATAGTTCAAATTTGAAGTTATACTGTAAATGTTTTCTTGAGATGACATAAACATATTAATCTCTGTTTTCGTGCCTCGTGCGTTTCGCTGGATGAACTAATAAAAAAGAGAGACTGCTCATTATCAAGCGTGCTCTACCAAAGTAAGAAATACAAATTGCCTTGTAAAATATTACAAATAGGTCAAAGATTATAAAAAACTGTCTTAAGATGAGAACAGTTAATTTTAAGCGGTACACGGTCAATAATCTCTAAATGCAGCAAATAAAGGCCATGAAAAGGAAAATACGAAATTTCTGGGGGGTGGGGGGTTATACATGACCCCTCTGGAACGGAAATTCCGACAGGGTGGGGGGTTCTAATCGTAAGAACCATCAGTGGGAGGGGTATGGATATTTTCTGGAATCACACAATGTAGTCATCTGAGCCACGTGAAGGTTTGGCCATTTGCAAGGCAATGGAATTAGTTTCATTTCTAAGTCACTTTAAGACCCTGACTGTTGGTGTGGCCCTGGGAATTGAACCCACAACCTCTCGCTCTGCAGTCAAGCCAGCTACCAACTGAGCTATTATCCTGCTGCGGTTTGAGATCTATAAAAGCTGCTGAATACAACTATAGCTTGCTTATCCATCTGTACCTCCTACGACATAAGCATACAATACTTTCTGAAGTTGTTGAGGGATGGGGGGCAGGGATTTCTTTCAGCTATTATAAGCATGACTCTCCTGCCCAGCAGCTACATGTACTTTCATGTAAAACAAAAAAAAGCACAGCGAAAAGTACCTCCCTAACTGTTTGATCCCCGCCTAATAATTACTGCATATACCCAACAAATTCAATAGGTGTCAGCCCTGACTCAAATCAAAAAGGAAGCAATCTGTTATTGGATCAGGGCTCAACAGGCGTTCAATGGACAGTGGGTTGCCAAGATGACCATGCATTTCTGTCCGCATAAGTTTTCGATTTCACAACAAACTAACAAAATTCAAGTTAACTTACGCTGCTCCTCGGGAATCTTTTGGAAACCATCTGGTAAAGTGATAAGCGCAGTGAGCAACAAAGTAATACCACATTCTGTACGCTAGTCGGTCCCTTCCACCATTCACGATAAATCAACTTGTAAACAATCGCCGATAAGCTCCTACACAAACTGTATTCTACATTTTCCAATCAAAGCTTGGTTTGACACTCTAAGAGACCTAAATAATCCTTAAAATTGGCTTGATATAGGAATTTCTCAAAATGTTTGGGTAGTGAAGAAAATATTTACGTCTTCATGGGAACTAGGCTACTCTGGAATTTAGCCACCATGATGTGTCCCATGATTCCTTACACTACGTTCAGTTTGTTTCTCTCGTCTGATTGGTGTTTCTTTCGGTCCAAGCAGGACAGGAAAAATTTTTTTCTTAAACTCAAGACTCCATGAATACTGAAAGAGAGGTTGAAATTGAATTTATTGATAAACTTTAGAAATACTTTGCAAGGATCTGATGCTCTTTTATCGCTTCTGCGTTTCGATTAGAGGTCTGGGTACTAGATTGTTGTGCTCGTCCAACATGGCGGATCTAAAAGGCAGTGCACTGGTTATTTTGGCCGAAGGTGCTGAAGAAATGGAAGCAGTGATCACCACAGACGTGCTTCGGCGTGGGAAGGTATCTTGGCGTATTTACCAGTTAAAGTTGTTTTGTCTTGATATTTTTGACCAACCAGTTGGATTTTACTAAAACAATTATTCCTGTCGCCCTCATGGCCTCTGATTCAATAGCCCATTGGGCCTCATGGGCTGACTTAGAGCCCATTCGGGCTCGAGGAATAATTGTTAAATATTCAAGGATAGTTTGTGTCAAAAGCCCTCACTCGCTCGTACCTCGCTCGTTCGGATTTTGACACAAACAACGAGTGAATATAATCCTGTACAAAGCGCTCTCTATGACGTGAGCTGTTTGTTACACATGTCAGAAGAATTTTCACTGAAATAGTTTGCTTAATGTAACACATAAGCTTATTACTAAGAGCAAATCACAGATACTGAGAACCAAATGCAAATTTAATAGCAATGGTAAATCTCGCAGCACATCCTAAGTCCTCATCGTGCTGAAGTACGTTACAAGAGACAGACCTCAGCGATGTGGGCTCATATTATTGTTCTCCGTCTTTCTGTCGACCTCCAAGTAGAAAATTGGCGATTAACACGACGAGATCTCTTGCCTCAATATTTTCCAATTCTCTCTGCTCGTTCCTTGAAACTAAAAACTTTTTCAATAACGAAACATCTCTCTGTGGTTTGCTTAATATGTTCTTGTTTCTTTGATGCTGCACAAACTCTTCTAACAAGCAACCAGCCGACACAACCTGTTATTTTTTCCTTCTCTCTTTCTGAAAAAAATTGGAGGTGCTGCTAAAAAGCTGCCAAATCTGGAAAGCCATTTGAATGCAAGTTTGATGAACGGCTCTGATTGGCTAAAGGCAGGAGCCCATCAAATGGAGCCTCCATCTCCCATACAAGCCCTTGGAGTCAACCCTTTCCCGAGTAGATTTATAATTAGAACGGTTCCCAGGGGAGACCTCGCGCGCCAATGGTGGGAAGAGCCAATCACAATGATGAAATGACACTGCTATTGTACTTCACCAAACAGCAGGAAATTCGTTGTTGACAGGCCAAACACAATCATAAGCTAGTCAAACGTGACTTTAGCGTTTTCATCCCTCAGAGATGTTCTTTTTTTTTCTTTCTAGCGGGTAGATTATACCGTGGAGAGTTTTAAACTCTGACTATGTTAATCTTAATTTTGGTTGCTTGTCTCACATTAAGAGGCCATGAAGCTGGTCTGTTACATGCATGATGATTAACTACTACCTGCAGTCTGTAGTTCTGACAGGATTCGTTTTCTTTAGCTAATTTTTTTGAGCGTTAAGGTTCTTATTTCGGCTAAAAGACTCAATATTAATCAAATTTCTAGTTTTTCAAGGTTTTTTTTTTCCGAAATGTGTTTATCTGAATAAATACTTGTAGTCCTTGTGGTTGTTTTGTCCGTCAGCTAGTGTGATGATTCCCTGCTATGTTTTGTAATGCCGCGTCCAGCCATTGTCTTCGCGCAAAAAAGTGATTTACAGATGCGAATTCGAAGGAAGGAATTGAGCCTAAACGTCTACATTAACTGCTGAGAATTGTCCTGTCAGTCAGTCATAATTCTTTTGGCGCAGATACAATCCATTTTGTTTTTCTTGAGATAAGAGGGTCTTTGAACTGGAGCGCGATGTCACAAATTCCTCCGTTAGCAAATTACTTTTGAGTTAGCTTCACGGTTGAGCAACTGTTGTCTTCTGTTCAACTTTTCAAGTGCCAGTTTTATCAGGCAACTCTCATGGTGATACAAGTCAGTTGTAAAGGAAGACTGCAATTTCTAAAATGTCGGAACTGAAGTATTCCTTGTTAGTTGCTACTTAGGTCATCGCTTTTGCACGCGGTGCTTAACTCGCGAAATCCACTCCACGGTGATGTCAAAAATCAAATGATCCTAGCACTTTTTCGGCGCTGATCATCGAAAAGTTCCAAATCATCCACAGAACGCTTAATCGTCGACTCTTTTCAAGGTACATGCTTAAATGTGGGATGTATGACGGCAAAAAAAAACACACTCGCAAAGATAACCTTTCCGTGATCCTCAGTTCGCTGCCTTTGTCCCATCGCTTCATGCTCAGTCTCAGTCGGGTAATTCATTAACTTTTATTTCATGATACCCAGATCCCAGCGGCTGTAAAATTGTAAAAATGGACATAAAGGAAAAAAGGAAAATGATCGAAGGACGGGCTTCTGAGTTCGACTGCATCCAATTTTATTTTCTCACGGTGACACACGAGACTCACGGAAATATGACACTTTTTGCGGGAAACTAGCCTTTCTATTTATAAATCTACTCGGGAAAGGGTTGACTCAAGAAATTAATGGAGATGGAGGCTCCGTTTGATGGGCTCCTGCTAAAGGGCATTTACACTGTCGTTGATTGGTTATACGTCCACATGTGAAAACAGCTGAACGCCATTCTGATTTGCTGTATAAGCTTTTCTCACATGTGAAAATAAAGCATATAGATTTCTACAAATAAGCTTTACGAAATAAAATTCTCGTGATACGTGTAATAAATAAGCTTAATAATTATTTGTAAGCTTAGTTAGGAAGACCTTAGATAACAATGACCTCAACCAGGTTTACGTCCAACAATTTTAGTGAAAACAAGGGATTGGGTGGGGTGCTCAGTCTCGTGGACTCATAAAACCTGGTCATGGTCATTCTTATTTAAGGATTTTCACTTAATTAAGCTTACTTGATTAATTTTATCCAATCCGGCCACCCAAAAGGTGGATAACACTAAAAACCAAAGAAATCTCTATCTGCTGGATAGTTTAGTTGGTTTCCCTAATACTTACCGTATTTATTCACTTATAAGAAGCACCATTTTTTAGAAGAAAATATGCTTGTTTGATCAAAATCTGCTCAAAACTCGGGGTGCGTCTTATAACCGAGTATTTTCGCGCAACAAAATATAACTTTTCCAAATTTCTCAAATAAATAATGCTAAACTGAAATGACTATGGCTCTGAAAAGAACCGTTTGTTTGAAAGCTCGGCTGAGCTCAGCTACTGGTCGTCCTCGCCTTCGCTGTCTGTCTCGAACTCATTGTCGATCGGCTCTTCTGCGTCTTCTGCTTCTTCTTCCTCGTCGTCCCAAACCGCATCATCTTCAGTTCCATCGAGAGCAAAGGGAGCAAAGAGCGAACGTGCTAAAAAGTACATGCTTGAAATGATTGACGTCAGAAACAATTGAACAAATTCCTAACCTCGCTCTCACGAAATGAGGCAAACGTGACTACAAATCGTTCGATAAAATTGTCATGGCCGCTATTAAATACTCCGAAAACGATAAAGGAAAAATAACAAACCTTCGTCCATCCAGGCCTTCTTGTGTACAGAAACCTGCATTCTCCTGGCATATTCCATATTCGCGAGCAATTTCACGGTTGTTGTTCACGGCTTCTGCTTCTGCTATGATCTTCAACTTGAAGTTTAGATCATAGGAATGACGACGAGTGCTTGGCATAATTACTGAAAATTTTCCTGTAGTTCTGGGTGTGCCTTATAACAGGGTATTTAGGTGAAATTTTGATTTTGCTTACTTGTCACAATCGTCTTCGAAAGTTTAGGGTGCGTCTTATAACCGAGTGCGCCTTATAAGTGAATAAATACGGTATCTACTGGATAGTGATTTACCCGGTGGATAGCACTTTCCAGGGTTTTAGGGGTATCCAGTAGCTTTTGAATGACTGCCAACTGTGCCCAGCAGTGAGTGGGTTGGTGGGTTGGTAGGTGTGGCTCTTTAGATGCAAAAAAGGGACAGTACTTAGGGGTCAGACTTCCGATTACAGTTATTTCTCTTTTAGTTGATGTCCTATTGATTGTTAGTTTTATGGGAAATTCACACAGATGCAAGAAATCTTTAAATATAGCATGCATTTGAATATTTTGTAATGTAGTTGTTACATATTAAAGTTTTAATTAACTTGACAAATTAAAGAGTATTTATCAGAATGGTTTTAATTTGTTGATTTTGTTTCAGGTTAAGACAGTGGTTGGAGGTCTTGCTGGTGCAGATCCTGTCACATGCAGTCGATATGTTGTGGTCAAACCAGATATGAGTTTAGAGGATGCCATTAAGCAGGTAGGAGGTAACATGTAAGAAAAAGGAAAATTTGTCTTCTTTCTTAGAAAAAGAGTCCCTTAGAAGTTGCCTGGAATCGTCTAAAACAGAATACTTTCAGTCCAACTGGAAAAGTTTTGGGGAAACAAGTCCGCATTTGAAGCTGGACCAGTTGTCTGTTTTGGACCTGTCTTAACCCATTTGCCCCGAATCACCCATAGCTGCCCCTCCAGATTCCACATCCCTTCTACTGCCTGTGACATCCTCAGTTTTAATGGCCAAGGACAACTTTGTCCGCTAACTTGTGCAGGGTGAAGAGATCTTTCAAACCATACCAGAATGAGCATGATTCAGTCAAGGAGACTGGAGAAAAAGGAAAAAAAAAACATGTAACATTGACCCAAAAACTTCCATGAAAATCCTGTTTCACTACCCACCTACCTTTCCTTTCATCTAATTCCAAAATCCTAAAAGCTTTCCCAAAAACTATTCCCAGCAAAGTAAAGCTTAATGAATTCCCAGCAAAAGAAAAAAAAATGGGGCAAGAAAAGTGAATTTATGAAGAGGAGAGGAAAAAAAAATGGAAAGAAAAAAGTAAAGACTGCTGTGCCACTTTTCAACCCAAAAACTATCTTGACATTTTGCTTTTTGCGTATGCTCAAAGTTCGCAAGCTAACATTTTGCATCTGGATCAGAAGGCTGGGAAGTGTATGACCTGTAAACAGCTTTGTGGTAAGTTTTACGTAGCTCTTTATAGTCAAACAATGACTTAAGAAAACTGCTCAACCAGCTTCCAAACGTCTTTTTTGGCAAAATTCCCGGGAGCAAATGGGTTAACACATTATAGGTGCCATTCTATAACTATTTTTTTAATTTTTGACCATTCCCTTTATCAAGACCAAAACTTTTGGAAATTCAAATTGAAATTGAAAATCAGTTTTCTTTGACATGTGTACACACCTCATAAGAAACATGGAGCACAAGATGAACAGTGCTTGAAAGGGAGAACACAGCAAGGGAAGAGGGAATGTTTGTTTGATAGAATAAAGTTTTACTTTTATTTTTAGGGTCCATATGATGCTGTTATTTTGCCTGGTGGATTAGGAGGATCTAACAACCTTGCTAAGGTATTTATATTTGCTAATTTTAAATGAAAATTTTGAGAGCTGATGAGAGTTAAAGGCTTACTTTAATTCTGGTTGATTAATTTTAGTCTGCCAAAGTTAAAGAGATTCTCCAGGAACAAGAGCAAAGTGGAAGAATAATTGGAGCAATTTGTGCTGGTAAAGAGAATTTACTGTCACAGTGATAAAAGGCCTAGGTGTAAACTCTGGTAAAGTGGCCCTTTTTTGTTCTTCTTCTTTTTAATGTACTTGAAACATCTAGAGAATAATCTGTCAAAAATTTATTAGTAACATTCTGGAAATTGTAATCAAGTCGACAAATTCTTAGAATTAGAATTTGCCAGGGTTTTTCGCTCTCTGAATTTAAGATGACTTGAATCTGATATGAGCCAGATAGCAGCAATTTATTATAAAAATATTATTGTGCAAGTGATCAGAAAATATTTTTAAAGGCCCCTTGGGATCCCTTTAATACTTTGCTGTCAGGCTCAGCTTAACAGTTTTAGATGTATCCTCAAATTTTATGAGGCACCCTTAGTCTAACTGTATTATGAAGTTAGAAGTCTACAACCTCTCTGAGTTTAGGAATGATAAGATTGCAGCTGGAACTATTCAGAACTGGAACAATCTTACGAGGTAGAGCGATTTTCGTATGACCTTGAAAAATGATTTTGGTAAGTGTTTGTTATTTGCCTTATCCGACAAAGAAAACCCTACTGTGGATCGAGGAGAAGGCATTGTTCGATTGGACAATCGTGTTGCAATACAGGTAAGACGTCAAAGTGAAGTATCAATTGATTTAAAGAAAGTTCTTCGGGCATGAAGTTTTTTCACCCGTGTGTTTGCTAACCAACCAAAAGCCAGGCACATTTGTTCGAGTGTTTTCATTTCAATTTCAAACGAAAATCGCTCTTACCCTATAACACTGTTGCAGGTGGCTAATGGACAAGCCCACCTCTAAATATAATAATTGAAGCCTAATTAATAATCCATAAATGCAAAAGGTATTTTGATCAGCACTACTATAGCTAAAGCTTGTTGCCTTAGCTGAGTGCTTTTTCTATTCCGGTTATCAGTGTTCTCCTTATCAGGTGGTAACTGGTAAAATTTACCCCTTGAAGCAACACTTCTTACAGCCTGCAACTGCTTTAACTGTTACTAAACATATTAAGAGGCAGTCTCCCTAAAAGCGGTCCACTCGATTTCGCGACAAAAAATACTTTTCCTTTATTTTTGTCGGTGAAGAGGCTTTAGTAGGTATATACTAAAATCGCTATTTTTGTTTTCAAATTCTTATTCTTAGCTCTGCTACAAGCCAAAAACGAATTGAGTCCGTCTCGGCTTCTCAGAGAGTATTTCAAAGACTGAAATTGATAGATTTTGAAAAGCGCGTTGCAAACAAACGAATGCCCGCACAAAAAATCTGTTCCATTCAGTTT